CATGGAAGTTTGAGAGGCCTTCCACAATGTTGTTGTCCTCCAGGCCTGTCCAGAGCCTTTCTGCAATTTTGCCGCTTTTCTTAAAGAGCTAGGCATGTCTGATAGTTTCTGAGAGGGTGCCATTATTTGCTACTGAGCCAGTACCTAGTACTTTTGTAATTCCACTCTGTGCCACAGCACCACCTTGTACTGCATCACTGAGCACATAAAACGGCAGAGGAAAAACACTGGGTAGGATGCACTTATCCTCAGGTAATGAAAACTGAAGAAGAAACCAGTTATATGCCTCATGTAGAAATATACCTTATCTTTCTGAATGAAATCCACATTCCTTCTCTTCCTGAGAAAAAGAGGCAACAAGTAGGCAAAGCAAAGAGACACCAGGTCATCTTTCCCTAACCTGGTATAGTCCAGGTGCACTGGGAGTACAGTTCCCATAGTCCCCCAGCATTTGGGGAGTTGCATGCTAGTACATCTGGAGGGCACCAGGTTAGGGAAGGTAATCCTGCACACATGTCAATGTAGGAGCAAGCCCTAATTATACAATGGGACTTACTTCCAAGCACAGGTATACAAAAACAAACACCAGGCAAGTAGTTCTCATTGCTGTGACTAGTCACCTAGTGAGCTGCACATCTAAGCTGGGCTTTGAACCTGAAGCTCTGATAACACTCTAGCTCTTCATTGACTCTCTTCTGTTCAGAGTTACCAGTATTTTGTGAGAAAACTGATTTTTATTATTTCTTTTTTCAAGCAGAAATCGGCAGCAGCAAGCAGCATTTTCGCCAAGAGCATACTTGAATGGTGTGGCACTCATCCTGAACCTAAGAAGCCAGAGAGTTGAGCCTGGCATCTCGTTGTGGAAGACTGCATATGCTCCCTCCATGATTAGCCCCATGCTGGGCCATGACAGACAGGTTGATGAGTGGGCCATTGGAAGCCTGAGCAGCAGCACTGGGCTATGGCTTAGTGTTGCATGTGGACGGTCATAAGAGCAGAGGAAAAGCCAAGCTGAATCAGACCAAAGGTTGCTCTAGTCCAACATTCTGCACACATGGCTAATCACAGCTGCTCACAGAATCCCCCAAGCAGGATGGATGCAAGACCTCCACCTGCTCAAGCTCTCCAGCAACTAGTTTATGCAGGCATGTCACCTCTGGTAAAGGAGGTTACTGATATTGAGGTAGCCACCAATAACCTCCTTCTCCATGAACCTGTCCACTCCCTTTTAAAAACATCCAAATTGGTGGCCATCACCACCTTCCATGGCAACACATTCCATAGCTTTATATACATTCTGTAAAAAAGTACTGTCTTTAATCTGTCCTAAACCAGCCACAAATCAGTTTCATGATATGACACCAGATTCTAGGGTTATGGGAGAGGGAGAAACTGTACTTCTTCACACTATGCATTACTTTAAACACCTTTATCATATCTTCCCTTACTCATCTTTTTTTCTAAGCTAACCAGTCTCAGTTGTTGTAGCCATTCCTCATATGGGAGCTACTCCAGTCCCTTGGTCATTTTTGTTGCCCTACTCCATACTTTTTGGAACTCAGCAATGTCCTTTTCCAGGTAAGGTGACCAGAACTAAACACAATATTCCAAGTGTGGTTGTTCCAAAGATTTGTAAAAGGGAATTGAAATCTTGGCAATTCTTTCTGTTTCATTCCTAATTATGCCTAGCATGGAGTTTGACTTCTTTGCAGCAGCTGCACCCATTCAGTTCCACGTGGGACTGGAAAGACGCCTGAAACCCTGATGAGCTGCTGCAGTTGTATTGATTAAAGTGTGCTTGATGGGCCAAGGGTGTGACTTGGTAAAGGCAGCTTCCTGTGTTGCAGTTGTGGGAGGGACTTTTACATCTACCTCCATGCACACAGAATCATCCTTCCCTTGCCCTAAACCATTTTGGGAGCAGTGACTCAAAAGGTCCAATAGGAGAATTTAAGAAATTTTACTTAAGACTGTTGTGCTAATGTCTCATCAGGCAACTAGATTTTTCACAAGGGGCTGTAAATACACTTCAGCAGCACTGTTTGTTCTGTGGCCAAAGGGCAAGAGCCCAGACAAAGTCAATTTGCAAGACCAAAGGTCAGTCGTGGAATATCTAGACAATTCTGCTGATCCAGGTTTATTAGTTCCCAAGAAGTTGCAAGGGCAGTGCTACTGGAGTTTGGATTCTTTTTGGTGATAGAGCATGGGAGTAGAGTGATGGCATTTTTGCAGTATTTGCTTTAATTATAGATATGAAAGTAGAACATAAATAGAGAGGAAGAGGCATTCCCACAAGCAATTTCATGCAAGGAAGCCCAGGGACCTTCAAACAATTCCCAGCTACTTATGTCTGACTCCAACTGCTGTGAAATTATGATTTTGCTTCTGTGAGTGGAGAAGGGGATTGCCTATTTTGGTGGAATGCTGCAGTTCATAAGATTATCGCTAGCACCAGAGCACTAAGGTTGTTTCTATTGTGGGACTCTGTGTTGGAGAAAAAGAGGGGGCCTTTGTGGACTTCCCCAAAGATATCTGGTTGGTCACTGTGAGAAGCAGCTGGGCTATTATTGTTGTTGCAGTTATTTAAATGTAGGTATCGCTTCCCACTGTAAAAAGTAGTCTGAACATAATGTACACATACATTACAGAAACCTATGATTAATATAAAAGGGAGAATAGGAAATAAGGAAAAAGCTCAAATCAATGCAAGGTATACATAGCACAATAATATACATTAAATAAAAAGAATATCAATCCAATATGAAAAGTGTTCATCTGCAAATACAGGTATATAAAACGTCCTGCTCACAGCCTAGACTGAGAATCATAAAAGGAGACTACAATAACTGGTTCATAGTTAACATCCAAATACCTGTATGAATTAATCAGACAACCTGTTTAAGCAACTAACAAGTCCCACTAAACGAATTAAATGCCCTGCAACAGAGGACTGTCTTAACCTGGGGCCGACAGGCTTTTAAAGTTGGTACCAAGCTGGAGCACATTCTATAAGTGGGGGGGGGGGGGGACCACTCTGAAAAGTTCCCTTCTTCTTATTGCCACCAACTGAGCCTCCCTTGTAGGTAGCAGTTGGAGGCAGTCCCCTAAGCTTGATCATAGTGTTTGGGTAGACTGTAGTTGAGACAGGTGCTCCATCCAATATTGCAGTCCCAAGTCATGTATTGCACAGGAGCGACAACTTCCAGATGCTGAAGTACAACCCATGTCAGCCCTGATCATGGGCCATACTGGGTGGAGCTGATCAGTGTTAGAGTCCAACAGTTCAACAGTATCTGATGGGAGTTGGTGTCCAACAGGTTTCTCACTACTGCTGTATCAACAAAAAAAAAAATAAAAAAATAAACACTTTCCCCTTTTACAATTGTCTAGATACATAGCTGTTTGTGAGTTTCAGAAGAAAAAGTGAATGCTTAAAGCAGTTAGGCTCAAATACAAAGCATGCTTGTTAAGGAGTAAGTCCCAAGGTGTTATGAGCTAGGTTTCCTTCCTTTGCACATTCAAATTCACAGTCCTTTCTTGCAAAACGTTCTTTATTGACCAAAATATTTTCCAGAAGCACAAACACCCAACACAAATCCCTGAGAATGTAAAGAGCAGTTTGTTGACTCAATCCAGGACTTCTAGGAACTCTTCTTATGAGTATTCTTGGGTCCCATCCTTTCAGGAGCACAATGAGCACACCTCCTCTTCACATGCTAATCGTGTAATTGAGCTGCCTTCCTCTGCTGACATCATGTCCTTGGGGTGAGAGCCATAACCACTTCATCTGTCTCTTAGAAACTCTCTGTCCCAAGCCACCTCCTGATAACTGTACATCTTGGTTATTCTCAGAGGCTGCCTGAACACCTGTGGAGTCTGACCTTGAGATAAGTGAGATAACTTCTCTCATCTCAACATCTAGAATTGGCCCACATTCCGAGTCCCAGTCGGAAAGCCTCGGAAATGCGCACCAAGAATAACTGTCTTTCTCATTCCCAGCACAGGCTTGTCACCAGCACACGGCATCATCAGGCAGATGCTGAGTCCGTGGTCCTCGAATGGCTCATTTTGCTGACATTGGCATCCCTTTCTTTCAGAAAGAATATGTCCACTGGCACTGAGAAGAGAAGTGATGGGGCACCTCAGTGATTTAGCGTAGCAGAGAAGCAGACACTTTGGAATGCTGTATTTTGGGAGAACTCCCTACAAGATCATGTTTTCCTTGAACAAAGGTGTTTGAGCTCAGCAAGCTGTTTTAGACACCTCTGTTGCAGGGGTTCACAATCTTTTTGGACCTGTGGGAACATTTGGGAAGTTGAGAAATGGCTGTGGACGCCTCCATAAAATGCGTAATCAATGGCACACTACTTTCTTTCTACCTGTTGCAGCAAAGCTTCTTTTGCCACATCTTATTCAGCGAAAACTTTTCTTTCATGTCTATTGTATACTGCAGTATCCACTACATTTGCAGTGGAGATATGTTCACAGTGGTAGAAAAAAACCATCTGATTTTATCTTCCTGCCAGTTTAGTTTAAGCCAGTAGAGCTTTTAAAAGCCTATTTCAGAGAAAATCACTTAAAAGAGTCCATCATCAGTATCAATATCAAGGAATTAATTGTAAACCCATGGGAAATAGATGTAGTGTGGATTGCAATACTTAGGTGTATCATCTATTGTACACTGGTAAGCATTTTAACTCTTCTAGTGCCTGTACAGAGCAGAAAACAGATTGAAGCTCAGTATCATTTCATTCCTCCCTGCTTTTTTTAAACAAAAGCTTTTTTATATGTGGTTTCTATCTGCAGTTCACAGCAGCTTTTGTGGAAAAGGGAGATGAAGCTTCTTAACTTTGGAAAGGTTTAAGTGATAAAGCTTATCACTTAGTCACAAGGTTTATGTTTGAGAAAAGCCATAAAAGGGTGAGATCATGTAACCTCTGACCAACTTCCAAGGCAAGAGTTCCTTATAAAAGAAGGTCCATCTTTCCAGGGAAAGCTCTTCTCTTCTGCTGAGCACAAAGAGTATCACCATTATGAGTTTCACTGGAAAGTATGAACTCCAATCCCATGAAAACTTTGTGCCATTCATGAAAGCCATTGGTAAGCATTTCATTTTGCTGCCTGCTCTATCTTGCTGTCATCTTTATTTCACACTTTGTTTAAAAAGGGAGCAAGAAATTTAATGCCAAGGAGGAAAACACAGGATTTTTTATATTTGTCTAAAAAGTCATTCTTGTGGATAGGGTTCTTATCAGATATTATTCTGTTTATATTTATTTTTCCTACTGGGAATAAAGTGCACTGTGGTATGGATTATACATCTTCAAATCTTGAATACAGCATAGCGGCAACAAATCATTTTAAAATCTGTGGGCACATCTAGGTCACATATTGGGAATTAAGCTGAGGTATGTTTATTCAGTTCTAAGCCTATAAGTCTGATGTAGTAGCTAAGGTCATTTTCATCAGTGCTCATACTTCAGTCAAATATAGTGAACCTAACACCTAGATTGTTTAGAACACTTGTTTGTATTGTGGATAAATTGTCCTTTTTCTGTATGAACAACAGTCAGCTATTAATGGCACTAGGAAGGCTCATTTAATATGAAAATATTTCCTGGGAATGAGCTGTGAAGTTTCAACTTGGTTGTGAATATCCTAGGCAGACCTACGCAATTCTCTCAAAGTCGGCCTCACAACTATAGTATGTAGATAATGATAATAATGCTGGCCTTCCTTGCAGGGTTTATGTGTTAGAAGAGATGCAAATATATTGTACATAGGGTAATCTGAATGCTCTAAAGCAAAACATACATGATTTTGTATCTGTGTGTTTTCCAGAATCTGATCTTTATAAGAGTTACTTCCTCTCACTTAGAGCATATTCCTTCTATATACAGTCTAGCTCTACTGGGTACATACAAGAACTGTGAAAGAGCAGATCTGTCTTTCCTCCACATCCTGCCATATACTGAAAGCCAGAGCATCCTGTGCAGATGGAGAGAGCCCAGGCATGGCTCCATTCTAAATGCACAAATCCGCACAGGTGGATGTAAGCAGAATTCAGGCACCCTTTCAGTCTCTGACTTTAGAAATGTATAAGTGCTTGCTTCATACACCATCTTTGGTTGTCCATCTTTGAATTCTCAGCTGCCTCCTGCAACTCCCAGGCAGGAATTTGGTCAGCAAACCCCGTCAAAATAAATGCAAAAGAATAGTAGTGCCCTCATAGCAGCTGACAGTGGATTTTGCATTGAAGAACTTCCCACTGGATTGTTCTCACATGCGGGGCTAGGTATGTTCTGCTCAAACGTAAAACTCACTGTGTCCTCTTGCCAGATTCTGCCAGCTTCTGTGCTCTGGCCCCACACAGGAGGCCATCAACATTCAAGCCAAACCTGGAAACCCTTCTTGTGTTTCAGCCAGTCAGTATATACAGGATGGTTCAACACATTACTTGTGTATCTCACACAGATCTTAATGCAGATATTTAACACAGTTACCCTATGATGTGCACCCACTGACGCACAACAGTTTGAATGGCCAGCATATGTATTTTTGGACTATAATAAGAACATTTCATACGTAGATCTGAAGCACTGTACTTGGAAAAGGCATGTGTGAAGGTCAAAAACTACTGTAACCTTACCAAGAGCAACTGCTTCAATAATCGACACCACCTAACTAATAAATCAATGGTTTTCAGAGTAATTTAAAAGAAGAATCACATTTCTATTCCACTGAAAGCTAGCTACAGGAGCTAGACATTACTACAGATTTTTTTGCCACAATAAATTTTCAATCATCCTTTCTTCATTCTACACAGATCTCTGTCATGGTGCTTCCTTAACTCTGGGTTGCTGTTGCTGCTAAGGTCAATTTTCATTCAGCATTGGTTACAAGTCTTGAATGTCTTCTTTATTCTTTATGGCTGTTGATTTACCTCTGCTCAGGCCTTCCTGATGAGTTGATAGAAAAGGGCAAGGATGCCAAAACCATCTCAGAAATCGTGCAAGAGGGCAAAAAGTTCAAGGTCACTGTGACCACTGGCAGCAAGGTGATGACTAATGAGTTTACAATTGGAGAGGAGGCTGAGCTGGAGACCCCAACAGGAGAGAAGGTTAAGGTAGGGTGCCTCACTTTTATGGCTTCAGTCTCTGAACAAATTATCATCATCATCATCATCATCATCATCATCATCAACCATCCCATTAACTCCAAGTTAGGTTAGCTCTCTCTGGGCAGTGTACAATATAAAACAGAAGAAAAACATTAACATAGTAAACATTTTCCTACAAAGCTAACATTTTAGATACATTTTCAACATAAATCTTTCTTAAATACATTCAATCATAATAAAACAAGTTTTATAAGTGGCTTGAGACATAAATTATGGCACTACGCAAAATAATATACACATACAACATCCACACAGTCCTATCATACTTTCCTTTTTGATTGAAAAGATCTTCCTGAAGTGCCCAGTCTTTTATTTAAACTGATTTAGTTAACTTCTCTGGCCTCTTCAACTTCCTTTTCTGCTGGCCTAAGTTAGTTCTTGGCATTTGCCACTTACTTACTAAACCTGATAAGTCACCCCTGCCATGGCATGTGGAAACACCTTCATTGCCAAGCCCAGTAAAATGATGTCTGTCGCTGCCTAGTTGATGGACGTATTTCTCAATTAAGCCCGAAGTGCCCCATAGTCTCCATGCCAGCTGGGCAACCAAGGAGACATGGCAGGCAGTGCAGGTTCTCTGATGATCTGGTGCGGTGTGGTGACGCAGGACAAGTGCAGTGTGGTGCTGCAGACACCGGTTTCTTCTGAGAACACTCTGATCTAGCCTACAAATGTCCAGGATCTCTTATGAGCCAGGCAGAAACTAATATTCCACAGGAAGGTTTATTGTTGGTGGGAATGGGAACCTATGCTTTGCATGTGCACATCAGAGATACTCACACAATTTCTCAGATTGCCATACTGTAAAATTATCCCAGATTACATAAAAAGTAATACCCTTTGACCAAATCTTGTGTGTGAAAGAAACATGCTGACAAACTATAAAAAATGAATGTGAATATTTGAACAGAGGCCCTAAATAGACTTTTTCTCTCCCCCCCCCCCCCAATAGGCTATTGTTCAAATGGAAGGAGAGAATAAACTGGTTGCCAACCTGAAGAACATCAAGTCAGTCACCGAGTTAAATGGAGACACCATCACAAATGTAAGATCAGCTAGAACAGGAATGTCAGACATAATGAGCCATTGTAGCCTGGCCCACCTCTGCTATTTTCGGGGCTGGGAAATGAGTGTGTGTTCATGTGCTGAATGTTTATGAGTGGATATGTTATCAGCCACAACTATAGGAATGTGTGCTTCCCTTTAGTTTCAATGGAATCAATAGCTCATTTTCAAATTTTAGGGGAATTTATTTATTTAAAACATTTCTATGCCACCCCCATCACAACAAAGCCTCAGGGAGGCTCACAAAAAATACATAAAAACATACATAAATAATAATATAATAATTTAAAAGAAAACAAAACATTTAAAAACCCCCCGTGCATTCTCGGCTAATTTTAACATCCTAATTAATTCAATAATTTAGCAATTAAAATAAGTTTTAAATAAAAAGGTCTTTGCCTGGCGCTGAAAAACAAATAACAACGGTGCCAGGCAGACCTCTCTGGGGAGCGCATTCCATAGATGGGGCGCCACCACAGAGAAATCCCTCCTCCGGGTACTCACCCTCCTAATATCATTCACAGAGGGTTCCCGGAGAAGGGCATCCATTGCTGATCTCAAGAGGTGGGAGGGCATATATGGGCGCAAGCATTCCTTTAGATATCCAGGTCCCAAGCCAGTTCTACTGAAATTTACATATTTCAGTAGAAAAAAACCAAAGTCAGCCATGAGGCAGAGTGAGGCAACTACTTCAGACAGCAGAAGTGGGTAGCTGTTAATGGACCAGCAAAGAAGATGAAATGCATCAGCAAAAAAGAGGGTGGATATTAGCATAACAATAGCATATGTTAGCATATGCAATTAATTTGTTATTTAAATAAAATACAGACCATCTTACATAAAAGACTATAATCAGGTGTTAACTGGATGCTAAATGTTGACAGATAACAGTTCTTAGGGTTCTGTATCTTTAAACTGGAACTGGGCAAGATAATCCTTCAAATAGAGCATTGTCTCTATAAAAAAGGATGCCCAGCCACCAGATTCAGTGTTGAGGGGGTGGTGGGGGGGATGGAAGCAGCTGCCCTGGTCATTCCTCCAAGGTCACCATAACATGGTTAAAAACAGACTGCACAAAAGATTCTTTATCCTTAAAAGCAGCACAAAAGGAGGAGGGTGGTACATTTAACATACAATATACATACTGTCTTTTACAGTAAATATTTATCTCTGACCCTGCTTCAGTTCTTTAGGTTTTGAGGGAAGTAGCTTCAGCCGAAGAGCTTCAGCTGAAGGGGAGGAGGAAGCAAGAGATTGCCACATTGCAATCTGCAGAATATAAACCAAAAAATAGAGTGCATCAGCCCTCTATAAAGTCAAAAGCCCTTAGAGAGAGATCAGGAATTGCTATAAGGCAGTTTGCCATTGCTCTTTAAAGATACCCTTAAAGCTCTACTAAAGCTTTAAAGGTATCTGATTATTGTTAATAACATTTTGCTATCATCACTATCATTATTGATAGCACCATCAACATGCATTACATGTTACTGAATAGGACCTTGTCATCCTAACATGATGTGACAACAGAGGAAGGAGAAAGAGAGGAAGTGGAGGGTAATGGAGAAGAATGTGCATTCAGTTCCATTGCATTCAGGTGTAACAATGCAACAGTAAAATTTGCATGATTTATGTATTCATGTGCCTGCCTTTTTGTAAAATGGGCTGTTAAGGCAGATTACAAAATCAATGCGGCAGTTTTATTTCATCCTATCACATGTTTTCAAATGGTTCCTAAAAATTTATCTTGGGTTCTGCTAAGGTGGGAACAGTGATTTTATCAAGACCACCCACCGAACTTCACAGCTGACCAAAGATGTTAATTTTCATCCAAGATTGTATCAGCATCTAAATCCTGCATTCTAGTCACTGTGTGGTTTTGTTTTTCATGAACATCACACACACACACACACACACACACACACGGTTAGATAATTTCAGTTTGGAATTTATCTTTTCATGTGTAGTCAGATTTGCGGATACTGAATGTCTGAACATGACCATGGACGGTCAAAAATCTTGTTTTTTCTTTTCTTTTCTAGGTACTGAGTGTAGGTGACATTCATTATAAGAGGATCAGTAAGAGGATCTAGACATTTGTATATTTTTACTGTGTAAAAGCAGTACAATAAAGTAAAATTTATACCATTGTCTCCATTGCCATTATCATTGTCACTTAAACTGCTGGTCATGCAGCTCACAGCTATCAAGGAGGATATGAAATGTAAGTTCAAATAAGACAGATGAATCTGCTCACCTTCTCTACATAGATGGACTCTAGATATGTTCTAAGGTCATAGGATCTGCTCAAACCTGTTTCAAAATATTTATTCTCACACACTGGGAGTTCAGCCTACTGGAATGGGGAATCACAGTACAAAGTTGAGAGCTGTTACGCCTATGATCACCTCAGTGGCCTACTAATTTCCATTTTGGATGTCCAGTATGGACATCATAGTGCAGCTGAGTTAATTCCTCAAAAGTATTTGGTCGATCTTTGTGTTGTTATTTGCCACCCTGGGGAAAAAAATTAAAGAACAAGATATATATATCTCTTAAATAAATGTTTGTCCATACAGAGACTATCAAGGCTCATTTGCAGGGCTTTTGCATTTGTGACAAGAACATGAAAGAGAAAAGGGGAACCCTTTTGCTTATCTTACCTTTGGAATCAGAGGAAATCATATGAGGAGGAGCACCAAAAATAACCAAAGTGAGGTTCTGTTGACTGGCAAGTCTAAATGTTATGCATGACATTGTCACGGCCGCACTTTTACACATGTGCACTATGGAAATTTGCCATTTTTAAACTGTCGGCAAGGTGGTGATATGCCAGAGCATACATACACTGTATCTGTTGATAATTTTGCTTCTGATCCTGGTTCTACCTGGTAACAACTGCATGATTAGCTGAAATCCAATAAGCTCAACATTTCCTAACTTGGCAATATAACAGGTAAAGCTTCACCTGACAAATTTGTGCTTGACATACAGTTGCAGACACACATAAGCTACATCACAACACATAAGCAAAACTGAACATTAGTGTTGCAAGTGGTTGCCAAGTTGTCAGCAGTGGATCACTATAGAAAAAATAGAAGTTTGATTCTTTCCCTTTTACCTTTAGTTTGTGGTGGCTTCTGAATACAGATGGAACATCAGATCATGTTGCCCAGATCTATAGAAATAAGAGTTAGAACTGCAAGTGACAGCTCCCAACTTACTTGGTAGTCACAGATTGACTGATGAGTAGCAGGAGGAAGGGGTACCATTGTTCATGGCCATGTACCGCACTGCTTCAATCTTCCAGTGGTTGCTGGCCGGGAATCCCTCTGGGCATGAATTGGCTTAGTGAGAGGTGGGACTCTGGGAGCAAGCCAGAGGAAGAACTTTCTCCCTCTTCTCTGTCATGGGGTTATACACTGCAGCCCAGGTTGCCAGCCAGTAGTCTGAGAAAACTTCTTTACCATTGAAAGGATAGAGCCAATTGCTATGGACAGAGTTTAGTAACCAGTTATCAAATCTGAAAAGGATTTTTACCTGCAAGAGCAACTGGCCTGCAGTGCAGGGCTTTTGACTCCCTTGACACAAGAATAGCAATGTCAGTACATGATGCTAAACCTGCTAATCTCTACTTCACAGGGTTGTGTGGCAAATGCTGTGATGCATTTGTTGATACAAGCACTTGAGGCATTATTTGAAGATGAAACAGAAAAAGTTCCCCACTTCCCATGGTGGGGATCTTTTTAGGAGGTCTGGCAGTGGGAGGCAGAGCCCAGTCCAACTTAGGAGCTGGCAGTCTCTCACACAGCCAGGGAACAGGAAGGGCTTTCCTCATAGTGGGCTGAATACTCCCATCTCCTCCTCCTTCAGGTCAGTGGGAGCAGTCAGCAGATGTACTGCTGATCATTAGATCTTGCCCTATGCCCCCACCAAATCTACTTCATTTTTAATTTGGAGCCAACTATTTAATCCCATTGCTCCCTGGGTGCCTTCCCACTCCTATTCCCTGGACTGCAACTCTGCTCTGCTGGCGCAGTTTCTTTGGGTTCCCTGCCTTTACCACTAAGATCAAATTCCCTCACTCAAGTAAAGTGTGACTCTTGCTAATGTAGAAAAATCAGGAGATGTTGCCAAGTACAAATATCATTTGTATTCTGTTCTCCTCCTAAATTTTCACTATTTGAATGATTGTTGTACATAAATTCTAAACAACCTCTTTGAAAGTGGGCAGCACTCACCAGCTACAGCAGCACATTTGTCATAAGACGTTACTTGATGTTCACTGACAGGTTTCACTAAAGTAGACCTCTAAATTATGACAATAATTTCATATGAAAGATGTATCCCCCCCACCAAAAGCTAACTAAGATGCTAGTTAATAAGCTAATAATAATAATAATAATAATAATAATAATGCTTACTAATTAACTTAGCAAGCTGCCTGGCTGTAGCATACAAGATCTCAGGGACTCTGATCATCAAACACAAGCAGGCAGGCTGCTAAGGATCTCAAGTTCCATGTTTTGAAGAAGGAAGTAAGATGGAATCTGGAAATCTGAAGAAACTACATTTCTAGGAGAGTAGTGGTGTAGCAAACAGCAGTGATCCACAGGCAGGCTTACCATCACCCTCTCTGAATGCTCTCCTGCCACACTAGCCCCAGGTGATGTACAGGCTGGGGCACACTGGGGTTTGCATGTGTATGAAGCCACCTAAATGAAATAAATGTTGCAGTTATCCATTACTATAATAACTTTATTTATTGTGGTTACTGGTGAATAGAAGTTTTGACACTTTATGTGAAATATTTCTAAATCAACATACTGGTCATGTAGGAATATGGTATCCGTCTGGAGCTGTCCCCAGGAGAACCAAATTCCACTTTCTATGGTATGTCACTTTCTTTCTGTTCAGAACCAACAGGGTGATTTTGCACCTATTGCGCGTGTATGGCAAAACATCTCCAACCTAGCAAAGGAGCCCATTATTGTTTCTTCTGGAAGATGCCAGGTGAAATGTTGTCGCTGCTGGGCTCAGGCATGATCTGGATCTGTTGATTCTGCAAAGCTGCCTCTCTCATTTTGTAATACATGAATTCATTCTGCTGGAACATGCGCAACTCCATCTCAGACTGAACACGCATTGCCTGAATGGAAAGAAACCAAGGGGACCCATGAGATATACAATTCCATTCTTCCCAGCTAGGATCCTCTTCTGTTTGTGATCTACAAGGAAGGTCTTCAACTTCAAAGTCCAATTCTAATCACAAATTGCTAACATTTTCACATTATCATCCCACAGGATGTGTATTTTCTGGAGGAAAAAAAAGCAAAGCAGACCCTGCCATTTAGCAGCTATGTTCATTTAATATTGCTTCAGCTAGACATGCAGTAAGGTTAGGAATTAAATAGTCCTATTCCAGGGATGGCCAACTTGCAGTTTTCCAGATGCTTTTGCTTACAGTTCCCACAATCCCTCCCATTAGGTATGCTGACTAGAGTTGATGGGACAAGTACACTGAAATCTCTGGAGGCCCACAGGTAGCCCAGAATGGGATGGTGCAACATGGCGTCCTGCAACAGCAGGGGGCTGGACCCAATGGCCTGCATGGCCCCTTCCAACCCTACTATTCTGTGATTCTATAAGTTGCCCCCCTGTCTTATTCAGTCACCCCGACTTTTAAAATTTCTTTCAATGAAAGCTGAGATGCCACTGCCTATCACTGGTGTATCTACTGATAGAATTCAGTTTGTACACTGAGGACTGCTTTGTTTGATGTTCCTAAAAATAATGCAAACCCCAACATCCCTGGTACACATGTGAAGAAAGCTGCATGGCTGTAGCTCATAGGAAGGAGAGGAAGGGAGTCCCTGTGGATTCTATTCTGCTAGCCAAAATGGTTGCAGGGGGCAGCACTCATCGCCATTTCAAAGGCCACGAGCCAGTGCTGTCCAAAGACATTCCCATGGTCATGTGCCAGCATGACATCACAGGGTGCAGTTTCCTCCCCACCAAGGGACAAGGCAGCAGGAACCCCCACCTCCCATGGCTCCGAATTGCGGACCTTTTGATCGGCAGCCCAATGGCACAGTGAGGTAAACCGCTAACCGGCTCCCACCACATCCCCATGCAGATAGACATGATCTATGAATGATTTGCCTCACAGAGCAGTAACTAAGCAGATCCAGTTTCAAGATTTTTCAGCACCATTATCTCTTCACATGAATAATCAGTAAATGTTGCAAAACAAAGCCTGGGCTGGAACGTCACACTAGCACTATAGCCACCTACCTCCAAATCTTTGGTAATGGGATGGGTGGAACCATGCGTAACCAGAAGAATTGCATAGGCTTTGCAAATCATCGCATGCCCCATTTCAATGAGGCCAGCATGCCAGTGTGTCACTCCTGCTCTCATGAGAGCCATCCCAAGCTGTGCATTGTTTGGGTGGTAAAGTTTCCTGAGGAAGAAACAAGTTTACACTTGCAATTCAACATTTGCACGCTCTATATGCATTGCTTCATCAATTTTGGGAAGAATTGGGTCTAAGAAAGAAGATAAGGTTCCACCCTTTTCTCCACCCATGAACGTAAGAACATATGAGCCATGCTGGATCAGACCAAATGTCTGTCGAGGGCAGCATTACGTTCGCACAGAAGCCAATCAGCTGCCCACAGGATCCACAAGCAGCATATGAGTGCAGGCCCTGCAGACCAAGTTCCCCATACAGCCTCTGATACTGGAAGGAAAGGCGTAATGATCCATTGCCCTTCCCACTCACTATTGATGGCACTGCTGTGAGAAGGGCTCCCTTGGATTTAGCTTCACCTAAGCTCAGCAGAATGGAAACATGTATGTAAGTATGCATGTGCGCAATATATCTATGTCCCGCCTTTCATCAGAAGCACAAGTTGGCATTCATGGGGTTCCTAGGTGGTCTCTCTTCTCAGTTCCGATCGGACCAACTTAGCTTCAGCAAACAGGTTGCATCATATCTTGCCTTTGGACCAGGGATTCAGAGTGTAAGCAAGCAGCCCTATGGTATCCCCAGGAAAAAATGAAAAGGTGGAAAATGTTCTAGGAACAGGCTATATGACTCTTGGCACAGAAGAAGCATATTAGGAAGTAGTGTTGCTTGAATTTGGCCATTTGCTTCCTAGGGCCTTCTAGGAATTGGGCTTCTATGACAGGAACCGGAGTCTATTCCTGGGCATTTTCCCCTTCATTTTTCCTCCCTGCGTCCTCCCACAGAGTGTGAAATGTTAGGATCCTTCAGCATAAGTATGTATCAGAGCAGGGAGAGGAGCTAGGAACCAGGATTCCTGGATGACTAGGTGATCTGAGAACTGAAGTTCTGGGAGGAGTGTTTATCTGATCAAAGCTGTTTCCAGGCCTCTGTAATCTTCTTAGGAAGGAGGTGGATCTGAATGACCCTTGGGCTGGAGCATGTTGTATATTTCTGCTCGGGACCATGCCCTGGGCAAATGGGGCAGAGGCTCTGACTGGGGTGAAGCAGAGGTGCTCAAAGCATGGAGTCTGGAGAGGTAGGGCTTGTGGAGCAACCCTTACAGTGACTTGCCAATAACATTTCATGGGCCCTTTTAGCTATATGAAGTTGTTCATGTGCACAAATGGGCAGTTCCCAGCATTCCAGCACACCCCAACATGTTCCTCTATGAACAAAAAGGGAATTAGGAAACAGAGGTATTTGTGGACAGGCGTGATCCTCAGCAGTGGCTCTGATCAATTTGGATGGGCTTACGTAAGCAGGCTTCAGTCTGTGAGGTGGCTGAAGGGAGAAGGAACTCTTCCTTCTGGCACAGATTTCAAAGTCACCAGAGGCATGAGACAGCAATAGTTCCTGCACTGGAAGTGGCCCTGAGTACAGCCTATTACTTTCTTTTGTATAAATTAAAGCTGCTCTCTCTCTCTCTCTTGCTCTCTCTTCCCCCTCTCCCAGTCTCTGTGCCTGCCTTGGTAGTGTATTTGCATAGAATTTACCAGGTATATTAATTGTATTACAGAAAAGAAAAGTGGGAAGTTTTGTTACATACACATAACCATCCACCGTCTGTTTTGAGTAGCCAGCTGCCTCATCAAAGAGCTGGAGGTAAGAGAGAACTTCTGACAAGATGCTGAGGATCCGTAGCAGGTAAATATTTGTGTCTCCCAACAATGGTTCCTGCTTCACCAGACACTCTCGACACAGCTTTACAACCTATTCAAACACAGGCAGAAAAATCAACAGAGAATGGAACATAGCAAGAGTGTCTATCTCTGCAATGCAGACCTGTAATAACATAGAAAGTTGCAGGGGAGTTGGGACACATAGATGACCTTTGAGTAACTGCTTACATTATATTTGTACATGAAAAAATGACCAGTCTTTCCCATTCTGACACCTTCCAGATATAGTGGACTAGAACCTTCATAATCCCTAGCCAGCATGCTAACTGACTGAAGATAAGGGAAACTATGTAATCAGAGCACAGCTAGAGGTAACCAGGTTGGGGAAGGCAGTGCTAGATGAATCCTACATCTTTGTCTTCTGAAAGCCATTTATACATCTTGATATATTCCTTTCCTGCTCCTTAAACTTAGCTAATTACCAGAATGTTTGGAAGGGCCATCATCAGAATTAATTTCTCCATTGGCTGGTACTAAAGGTACAAGTGTAAGTATCTGCAGGTATTGACTAGCTATGTGTCTCAAATACAAATGTCATCCTCAAAAGTGCCGCTTCAGGGGCTTGAGAAGGAAGAGGCTTTCCCATGTAATATCACCTGTCTGGGTAACGCTTTGCCTGTCATGGTGCCAGTCCAGTGTGACTAACACATATACTGATTCTTGGTCCAGTATCATTCTGTTGCTTGCTAATGACAGCCAGCTCTATTGCCACTCTACAGCTAAATCAGTTTTATTTAATAAACTGCTGAGCTCAAGCCAGACAAGACAGAGTACTGTTAGTTGGAGTTCTCGTAATGATGCAGGTACAATTAAACCTGTTCTGTGATGGGGCTGCTCCTGCTCCAGAGTCAGGTACAAAGTCTGAGGGACTGCCCAGATACAGACTTGTCATCAGAGCACTACAGAGCCTTTCATATATATGCTACCTTTGCTTCCCCCAGATGGTGAGAACCATCTTTCAAGTGGGCAGATGGGAGCATGTGAACATACAGAGCTTACGGAAATGCTTTTTTTTTTTTAAGTGGCTATTTCAACATGTCTCCCATGTCCCCTAATGCTTTCCCCCCCTGAAGCCATTAGGAAGCAGGAATAAACAACTACACCATCTGTGACTTACTTCATGGTACAACCCATTTGAACGAGCTGCCTCAATTTTTTCCATGGTGTCCTTAGACAACTGGATTATGCCTTTTATCGCTTCCTTGGATGGCTGCAAGAAACAAGGACAAACAACAGGTATGAGCTTCTATTTCTTTACCACCAGACTCTCCAGAAAGTATCCACTTGGCAAACCCACATACCCTCTTATTAGCAAAACAACAAGAAAACATAACATTAGTGATATTAGCTACACTCCTCATTCTATGCAGCAATCTTCCCCAACCCTGACCCCTTCTAGATGTGCTGGACTACAACTCCTACCATACCTAGCTAGTATGGGAAATGGGAAACCAATTATCAGAGCTGCATCAGGGGTTCCTCAATGGAATGATAAGCCATCTTTTTGTAAGTTGTCCTTCTTTTTGTAAGCTGTCCTGAGACATCAAAGTGGTGGATGGGGTATAAAAGTTTTAAATAAAATAAATAAATAAATAAATAAATAATGGTGAGCAAGCTTCCCCACAAACAGTTTGTTTGACTGTATTTTCTGCAATGTACAGAGGTTTCTCAACAAGCAAATTGATGCAGAAAGGGTTCGGTAAAGGTAGAAACTGAAAACCACAGTTCTGGACATAGGTAATCAGTGAGGGCAGCAAGCGCTCAGAAAACTAGTAGAGTTCATTTTGGCATTTTCTTGTTGAATTCTTGATTGAAACTGGATGTGTACTGCTGAGATTCATATTTGGAAATGACCTGGAATCAACATCTTGCCTTCACTGTCAGCTACATACCTTTGCATTCCCTTCTTTCACAGCCAACATCAGGTCATCTTTGATTCCTTTCTGACAGTACTCACAGGTACAATCAAAATAATACTGCTTTTTCAATAGCAGCTTCCTGTCTTCACTGATGTTAAGGAAGTCTATGTAGGACACAGTCAGCTCCTCTCCTACAGAGATCTTACCCAAAGCACGCAGCTCTATCCTAGGAACATAGAAGGCATTTGTTTCAGCTTAGTTTTAAGATTTACACAGTTTGCACCTTTTGGACCAAGTACAGATTCTGATGCAATCTGCAATCTAAGTTCATACACTTCTGAGCTTGCAATGTGATTCGTGGACCGAAAAACAACAATTCGACAGCATGCATATATTTCAGAAATGTGCAGGGAAAATGCATACTTTTGAAAAATGCACACACTTCAGTCAATGGGAGTAGAATGCGTACATTTCAAAGATGGACACAATTGTTGTGTAGATTTGGAAAAACAGAAAAATATGCATGAATATTCATGCAAAAATAAAGAACACAAAGCACACGATCTGATATGGACTCCAGTCCAAACAAATCTTGGTGGAATTCAGAGAGCTTTAATGAGTTGAAGTTTTCCTGATTTGTACATCCCTATTGAATCCTGGTCTCAAACAAGGAAAGAGGGAAGATAAGATAAACAAAACTGACTACCTTATGGGATTCCAGTGACAAATGCATTAGGAATAACTCCACTAAAGTTGTGCTTGATTTTGGAGAAGAGAAGCCCAAGACAGAAGCAAGCCCTCTCTCTGATTAAGGGATGGGGCATTCAAGATTTTAGAACCAGGTAGGGCAGCCTCATTCAACATGATATCCCCAGAAGTATAGGATGGCAACTATCATACTTCCGTCCCAGGGTACTCCCTAAAATGCTATGTAGTTGAAGGACAGTTTTGTGCACAAACTTGCATAGGATTGTACTACTAAAGATCTAGCTCCTTCATAGGAAATACATATAGTCCAATACTGTGCAATCATTGCACAAAACCAAAATTCTGCTTCAGGATAAACCAACTTTTGCTGCATTTGACAACCTGTTTAAATTTATGCAAATATAATAATGCTCTAAGTTTGCTCTTATTTTGCATTACACACATACAGATATCTATCATATTACATGTAAGTAAGAATGCATTTTGAAGGACAGAGAAAGCATTTCAGAAGATTTCAGTTTCAATCATATAACTGGGTTGCTGCAAAATCCTATGGGTACCACCACCGAGAAAGTCTTCTATTCTGTGGTCATTTTGTTTGGGAAACTTAGATTTGGGAATTCCTCAACTTGACAGAATGAAGTCAAATAAACCCAGTTACAAATGTTTGAATGTGAAAATTTTCAGCGGCAGTGCTTCCACAAGTGTTGTATACAAGTGCATTAAAAACAAGGCTTTATATTTAGATTAGCTGCTTTTCTTTGAAAAACTCCAAGCAGTTTACATGAAACTCCCATATCAACGCCAGTCAGATCCACACTAGTTTCATTTCAACAACTTCAGCCCTGAACGATTATTGATCAGGTGACCAACAGTGCACATCTTTCTGGACAGACCCATGTACAGAAACAAGATAACACACACCTGCCAGAGCACTCAAGTTCAACCACAATAGATAATTATTTTAAAGGACATTTCTCCACATGCCACATAAACCTTATCAAAATAAAACACGCACACACATATTTAAAGGGACAATACATATCATGGTTTCAAGCAGCTTTTAGTCATGCCATACTGTCTGTTAAGCAGCATTTTAGAGAACCAGCAGGATTAATGGGTGGGACTTTCCTTGGCCTGTGCCAGAGATATACAAACAATCCTCTGCTTCCCTTGAAGGTATCTGGGTCTTGAGAACATTTCTAGCGAAGACTAAAACAAATCCTGAAAGACGTTGCAAGCATTTGCTAGGTATATTTGAAAAGCCAAAGCCCTCCTCTGCCAGTAGACTTCCACCCACCTATTTTGCAATCAGAAACGCTTTGCAATTGCAGAGATGAAACTAGCTGTAGGAAGGTTCAGTTGTAGTCTCCCTCAGATAAACTGGCTGGCCAGCCAGTCCAGCTGACTCCACAGCTGGGAAGAGCATTTCTGAGCACATAATTTCAATCTGTAGGCTGATTGGCCTGCCTGCAACACAGTGAGTGCCCCATCAATTCCCAGCCCTCTCATTCCTGGTCTGTATCACCTGGGGCTGCAGATACTTGACTCTGCTGACTGTATCTACTGTCCCTCAATTAATCCCCTGGTATTTAGTCACTGGAAAGTTGAATTCAGGATTCTGTCCCTATTTCTGCTCCCCCCCCCCCCCCGCCCCCAGCTTTTGCTTCTCCGCTGTCCTTAGCAATCGTGAGTGTTTCTTCAGCCATTCATTTACACCTTCCTTTCCGTTCCCACAGGTATTGTATTTAATATAGTTTCTGTTTTCACAGTTCTTCTGGTTCATGGTCAACTGAATTCAGTAATGTGAATTTGTTCTTTATATGGACTTTAAATTCCTCAGGAATATGTAAGTTTTATTTTGATTCTATACATCTTTTAGTGATCTTTTTCAGCCTTTAGTCTGATTTATGATACTAAGAGTTCAAGGTCATAACTGTACCCTGCTCCTGGTCTTGTCTTGTCAGGAAAATTATGGATTCTCCATCTTTTACTTCCAATTATTTAGTTTATTTGTTGTCTATATTGGCTATTTGGTGATGTCCATGTGTACAGTTCTCTGATTGGTTGTCCGAAGTATGCTAAACAGATTTGTTCTCCATTTTAGTTTACTTACACCAAGTTCTGTAATGTTTAACCTTTTAATTGCTTGCTTTACAGTTTCCAGTTTGCCTTGATTCATACTTTCCACATTCCAAGTTCCAAATGTATGTGCTATGCAGCACTGGACTTTCCTTTCAATTTTGTGCACATCAGCCCCTGGACTTCCTTTGTTTTGACCTAGTTGCATCATTAGCAACTGTGCTACTTGTATTTGTCCTTTGCTCTTCCCAGTAGCTCACCGAGTTGCTTCTGACCTGGAAGTCTCATCCTCTGGCACTAGCTCTTGTTACATTTTTGGATTGTATCATCATAGCATTTAAAAGGTAAGAAAATTCAGAAGTAGTTTACCAAAGCATTTTTCTGTGCGGTAATGACCAGAATTATCTTGAGTGTCACTGCTATTGTCTTTGAAAAATCCCCTGCCAGTGTTGCCTTCGCTAACCACTGCTGTCCAGTAACTGCCCTTCAGAAGTCCCTCTGCCCCCACCGCCATTAGAGATAGGCTTTCTCTTCTGCTGACTGTTACTTCTGAAGGTGAATGCATCTTAGTCTAGTGTCTCAGATTTGACCATTCTGTCCTGAGTGACTGTATCAGACCAGCCTAGCAAGAGAAACTGGCCTCCATTGCTTGCAGCTTCTCTGATACTTTAAAACCTCTTCAGCACATTAAGGTGTGCATCTAGGAGAGGTGGTCTCTCAGGTACATTCTGCAATGTGGGGATGGTAACAATACAGACCTACTTTACAGGTGTCCTGTAAGGATTACTGAAAAATGTATTGGATGTGCTTTGAGCATTCTGCAACCATATTTTCAAAATAAAAGCCAGAAATAAGTGATAAAGAATGATAAGATGTATAACTTAGGGTACAGCCAAGGGGAGTGAAGAATAATTGGTTTGTACATTCCGTAAGCTCACTCCCCACATTATTGTCCTATGCCTCTCTTCCCAGGGCTCAGCCAAAGGGAGACTGGATCTGCAACTTGGAAGCAGAACTTGACTGCACATCACATTTATTAGGTAGTGACATTGATGTCTTGATCCTTTCTTGACACACAACACAACTTCTAAACATACAGGCACACTGTGCTCAAATTATTTTATTTTATTTTATTTTTGAAGGGAACAGACCAACTGAAGCATGAGAAGAGGATCAAAATGAAAAAAACAAAAAACAAAAAAACACCAACTCGTCAGCCTTCACAGCAGAAGCAAATATATCTGCCACTTTCAGCATAAAGGCAGGCGGGAGCCAGGTCCCCACAGGGTAGTAGGAAATACCTACTTTTAGGTTCATCTATATTCACCCTGTTTCTTACACAGAATGCATGTCAGAGGAATACAAAATGAACACCCATTTTAACGGGACAATAATCCTAAATTTATATCTCCCATTGAAATGAGTGGAACCTAACATTTATTGTGTTATAAGTTAATATGTAATATGTAAAATATTTAAAATATGTAATATGTAAAATTAATATTGATAGTTACAGGCAGGTAGCTAACTTTGGATGTATTGTTCCCATGGAATCTACACTTGTCTGTCCCTTTTGATGTAAGGGGATGCATCAAAAAAAGCTGATCTTTACTTGCCAGCCATCAAATCACCACAGGTTCCACCAAGGGGCCTGAAACTAGTTAAAAAACCATCTGGCATTATACTGCTCAAATACATCACCTTTAGCTTTTGTAGTTTTAATCAATGCTGTTAAAATATTTGGTGTATCATTTTAATCAGTGCCAACATGTTTGCCATTTTTATTCATTTTATTCAGTACAACCAAAATCAGAGGATGCAGTATGTATCAAGCAATCAAATCTACTAATGATATAAAAGTTTTATTGGATTTACTTGGGTTGCAACTACCACCATGATAGATTCCCATGCTGCTAGAAGGATAGGACAGGGGAAAAAGGCAGAACAGGCAAGAAATGTGGTCAGGTTTGTCAGAGAAGGGGATGATGGACATAATTAATATTATCATTTTTAAAAGAGGTAATAAACAGTGGTGCCACTAGGTAATTTTGGACCCTGCACATAATGATCTTATGAGGGTCACTTTCTATGGCTTTCTATGGTATTTTATTTCAATTGTGACACACACAACTACGATTTCTCTTCTATGCTCATAGCTGCTGTTCTGTGCTTTACAATAAGCATCCATGATATGTTAGAACAACAGTACTGTTGATTTAAAAAAAAAAACTCTTGAGCATGTGCAGTTTTTGCATTTTGAATTCATAACACCATTATGACTGCTGGAAGAAAATGAGGTTTGACTTTGCTGCCCTGATGCTCTTGTCACCTGCTTCTCTCTGGGTGGCAACTTGCCCCCTCCCCTCATGCCAGGCTGCAGGGCCCCAGCCTTTGGCCTCGAGGGCCAGTCCTAGCTGCACCACTGGTTATGCACTGCAAAATGCAGGGGCTACAAAATGAAGGTTTGGGTTTGGGGAGTCTGTGTGTGGAGGAGAGAGAAACAGTGAAGCAAGGCACTAAGAGGGTTCTTTAAAGGTTGCTTGTTATGGTCTGTGGGACTTGGGTGTCAATGCAGGATGAGAGGGATAGCAGCTGGATGGGAGGATTATGTTCTTGAGACCAACCCACCTCATCTGAGTGTGGAACAATGATCTTACAGCCTCATGACTGAAAGAAAAAACAGACATCTGCAGTTTTACAGAGGTACAAGCAAAAGAATTCCATACATTTAGTCTGTCAAATGCTAGCACTCTGCTTTTAAAGCAACATGCCCAACTGTCAGCCGCCATGGAGGATGCACATCAAATTGCACACTGGAGTTCTAAGACGGAACACTCTCCTGTGACTGCACAGCTTACAAGGCTTTTGGCAGGAGGTAGACGTGCCCCTCTCTTTAAGCAGACACTAGAGACTCGGATTCTACCATACACTTCATTGTTTTCCTTACTGACCCTTTATATGTCCTTTTATCTGTTGTTCTATGAGGAAATCCAAGTTTTTGCAACACCCAAAGCAAGTTCCAACAGTAGACGAGGCCAGTCTGGGTCCAGCTTTTATTGCCCCTGCTCTACACAAGTAGCTGTCCTAGTTAGCATCTGCATCAAGAGACACAATCTGCAGGTTCAGTAGGCCTGAATGAGCATCTTGGTGCAGATGTGCCCTCGCTGTGTAAGTGATCTACTTGGGTCCAAGGATTCCACCATGAGCTCCACATACAGTTCTCTGTGTAACTTTCTTACAGGCAGCTATGATTGAGTATTCTCCCATCACCCTAAGAGCAGATCTTCTTGATTTCAGATTCTCTTACTGAGGAAAGAAGGGCAGCAAATCCTGGGAAAGGCCACTCCTCCAGTCCAGGACTCAGCAGACAGTCTCCATGCTTAACATAGAGAGGGATGGGCATCTCTGGGCAACCCCACTTTATAAGACAGACTGGCGGACTGAATTACTTGGAAAAAGGAGAGAGTAGTGCTAGGACCAAGGAAGCTCCAGCACCAGTAACAGCAGAATCTCAAAATAAAACTGAGAAATAATTTAAATGTAATATTAATATGATGTAAAACTGTAATAGTAAAACTTCCTTCATTGACACAGGAGTAAAGCTTTCCTATTAAGGTATCTCTGAAAATAGGGGGTCTATGGGGGAGCTGAGGACCTAACTAAGGGTTGCATAAAAATGTGTCTCTCGACATTGCGATAAGCCACAGTGCATTAGTTGTTGCCTGGGCAACTGATCATGTGTTTGACAGATGTCTCATAAATATCCCATGAGACTGTGGCATGAGCCACCTCCTTACCATGACCCCTTTCGCACCTGCCTGACTTCCTCCCCCATTAACACCCTGCTCAAAGATTATGACAGCCAGAGACAACCCCTTCAAAATGCAGGTAAGCTATTTCATTTGTTTATGTTTGCACCCACAATGTGCACAAATATTCTTGTACTTTTTAAAGCCATATTTCTGCAACCCTGGAGATGTACAGCTCCATGAATGGGAAATGCAAAAACTCGGCTGGGCACTGTTCTGCTCTCAAAGTACACTTCTCCTAACCCTGAATATTGACTCTGAAAGGCTCTAAGCAGGGTTCTCCTTTCCTTTGCTTTCTCTGGATAGCTGTCAAAAGGCAAGCTGTCAAGGGAAAGCAAAACCATAAGTGATCTTTGTTTACAAAGAGGAGCTTTGTACATAGATTTCCTCCTTGCAGCAAGATCCTTATCTTTTCCCCTTTTTACCATGATTGTCCTCAGTGTCCTGTACCTTTTTCACTTTTACTTGGGACTCCAGCTACTCGGGAAAGTTCAAAAGTATATCCCACCCTATTTTGTGGGAAAAGGAGTTTTGACAATTAGCTGTTAAAATTCAGGCTCTGTTTTAAAATGGGGTTTCAACAGGACATTGGGTGGTTTGTGGCAAGGACATATACAGCTCTATGCCTTCAACCTAAATATTTTCTGAAATTGTAATTGTATGCAGCTCTTAAACAATAATCAGCAATCTTTCTTGTCAGGGTGACAACCATACCCTATAAAATCATTGCAGAGAAAGAAATACTTACTTGCCATTGTTAAAGATGACGGTACAGTTGGGCCAACAGTCATGATTTACGAGGCAGAGGTTGGGAAAAATGCCTACACCAACTGCTTGCAAGCCCCGCTGGTCACTCAGAGTAAAACCATTGCAGTTTATCTGCTCCCACAAAATATAAAGAGTACAACAGATTAGGGGAAATGAGATTTTGTAGATTAGGGGCAACCAGTGTCTGTATTATCTGGAGTGGCTTTATTTCCCAGACACAGTTGGGAAATAGGGGACAGAAGTATACTTTGGTACACAAACTAATCCACTCCATATGTCAAGAATTTCATAGAAACATAGAAACAGAGCGAGTCAGAAGGGGTCTCCTGGGCCATCTAGTCTGACCCCTGACTCCAGCTGGCTCCACTCACGACATGCCCACCATGTGCATGTCTAGAGGGCACAGCGGACCAAATCTTGATATACAAAACCCAAGGAACACAAAAATGAACTCCCTCATGCACACATGTACTCATATTCACACCACTTTGGAAATAATTTAAAGTGGGGGCAGTCTTTTTCCACACCTTAATTCTGCTAGAAATGCTGCATGGCAGCTAATAGTGATTTGTGGACATAATTTGGCTTTTAAGTCTCTGTTTTCTGAATATGTGTAACTAGTTACAAATATTCCTGAATATAAAGCAGGGCTAGCCAGCCCATGGCTTGAAAACTGCCTTCTCCCACCCCCACACGCCAAGATGAGGTTTCCAGTATGTGAGCCAATGAAGTGGGTTACAAGGGTTCCTCTGCCCCTAAGAAATAGCTTTTCCTTTATTCTCCAAGGCCTGTGTAACTATGTAAACATACCACACCCAATATGTGAGAGATGTATTGCATGCCAAACTGCTTGCTCTCAGGTGGCCAAAACTCCAAGAAACTCTCCAGGTCAATCCTCAGCTCCTTCTCCTCCTCCTCTCCAAAATGTTCCACGTGGTTCTGTAGATTGTCAATGGAGACCAAAGAGCCCTCTGTCAGACCACTTCCTTCTTTCTCTATTCTCCACATGATTCGGGCAGCCAGCCTAGTAAACCAAGAATACCAGTTAATGAGAATCAGTCACAAAACCTGGTAACCTTTCTCATGAATGAGCAAGCAATGTTCTTTGCGGAATTACAAGTGTGGAAAGTTTAAATACTAGTTTGATCAACTACTGCATCTGTTGATGGATAGAAACAACTTTTTAACTGATATTTTTTTTAATGGCATGGCTGCAAGTTGAGGGCACACTTTTTATTTTGTGATGCCATTGTGATACTCAAGACATCCCCTAAACCTTTCCTTCAGGAATGGGAATGTGGTGGGTCCGGCCGCTTGGTGAGGAGACTTGGAACCATCATGTCATGTAGCACCCAAAAGAGGTTCTTCTTTTTTCTTTCCCAAGACAGGGGCAGAGAGAGAAAAAGCTTCCGAAGATGCCAAAGGTTGTGAGCCACAATGCAGGCAAGGACTGAGGACCTTCCCCTTCTCAGCTCTAGAGGTGGGGAACCTTGAGGCTAAGCAGGGCTGGCAATCACTGATTCTGCAACCTGATTCTGCAGCTAGAGAGTTAGGAAGGCTCTGATCACTTATCATGTTCACCATGGCAAGCATGGCAATGCAGTTGTTGAATACTAGTTACTCTAATGGGGAGTAAAACAAGAAGGAAATATTAAAGATGAACTTCTGGCAATACATGATGATTTACATTGTAATATAGAAAGTTATCCTATACTTCCCTCTATATCTCAATCTGGCACTTAACAGATATTTGGTAGCACAAAATGTATTAAATTAAAAGATGACTATCTAATCAACTTCCAAGAGACTTGTTTCCAAAATATGGTCAACAAGATGCTTCCAGTAGTTCAGAAGCAGATCATCAAGGCCTTCCCTTATGATGGGCCTCTGAAAGTAGTGTTTCCATGTAGTTACTCTACGTGTTCAGAACTGATCTGCCCTACCTCCCAAACTAATCCTTTCCCCCTTCCCAGCAGATCAAGAGAAGGGGCTTCTAACAACAGTCTTGTATTATATCAGACCAGCTAGGACTGGCTTTGTTTGATAAAAGAGGCTAGTGTCAAGGTCCTTAGCAAAACAAGCCAACAAACAGCCATCAAGTTGCTGCTTATGGGCAAAGGGCTACTTAATTGGCTAGCTCTCTTAATCTGACAGCAAATGACAGAACTGGCTAAATTATATCCCTCCCAATCAGGCTCTCATTGTTCCAGTGTCTTGCCCCAAACCAGAGCTGATCTGGTTCTCACCAGCTACCTGGCCTATCTATAAGTTTTCTTGTCATGTCATTTCAGGTAAGAATTCCAATCCTGCCTCTTCTCTCAGGTCAGATTCAAAGGTCTGATGTATCCAACTTGGACAGGTGGTAGGATGTAGAGACGCCATGCTGGGGTTCATGGGACAACCTAGCTGCAGAAGCAAGCACTTACTTGCAGTTACTGAACGGTCTGAGAGGCCTGGAGAGATCTATTGCAAGACTAAAGAGGACCCAGGGTGGAACTCTCAGAAGATACACACTTGGTGTTCACCTCTTGGATCTGAGAATGCACTGGTAGGTGCCCCCACTAACAAAGCAGTTTCTTTTTGATTTATTGTGTGGGAGTGAAATCAGGTTTTTTTCCCCCTGCAAATAGAAAGCAGAACTGTAACTGGCAAACTTCCAGAAGGATCAGTTCTCTAGCTGGAAGCATACTTTCCATTGCAACTCATAGTACCTTTCTGTCTCATGTATCACAATGTGGTATTTTTACCCAGATCCTATAAATAGTATGCATGATAAGTAAAGTGGTTAAACCTGGCAAAGAGCAAATGGCAATTCCAGACTAGAACTTAAGCTATCCTCCTGTGATTTTTTTGCTCTAACAGATTATTAACTTGCTCAGGTAGCTTTTGAAATATCTACTTAAACATCAGAGGAATCTCCTTAAAATAATCTCATATTTAAGAAATTTCTGAGTTTCTTCTTTTCTTACCAAGGAGCTGTGTGTTTCATCTAAGGATGGAGACTGCTCCAAACTGGATGTTGTTTTTTTTTAATGGTGGACCAATCATTGTTTACCTGTGTCTTCATCCCAGTAATCCTTGGGACCATCCTAGATATAGCCTGGAATCATTGTTGTTCCCAGCAGAGCCTTATTTAAATAGCCATCATAAGACTGTAACTAAAAGTAGACTTTATAGCTTTAACAGCAGCCACTTTTTTCCTCCCTGCTCCCTCTTTGCCTTGTTTACAAGCCTTCTTGAAAGCATACACACTATTTTATGACCTTTGGGTTAGTCCACTAAAGGGCTATCTTGATATGGATTTTGAATTTTTAAATACTAACTTATTGTGGTGGACAATGGAAAATGTCCCTTGCTTCTTTTTTACTTAGGCCACTAGCCTCTTGGTTGTGAATTTTTTATCACTTAGCAAAATTTAAATTTATTTATTTAAAATTTTCATATGCTGTCCCAGTACTAAAAATCTCTGGATGGCTTACAAAATACAAATCCACTGAACCATCATAATGGCTAACTTGCTATCTCAGGCATTTATATCTTGCTACTTTTATCTGAAGGGCACTTAGTGGAGCCTATAAATATGTTAAAACAATTAACAAAAATTAATATAAAACTCAGTAAAGCAGCAATTAAGCAGTATAAAAGTTGCTTTTATATTTTTGCAGGGTTTGCATGATCAAGGAAAGAAATGAATTCTACATCATTTCCATAATTACCTATGCAGAGTATGGGTTGATGAGTTGTTGCAAGCAAGTGGTGGAGTGGCTTCCAAACCACCCTGGAATTCTAGAAGAAGCCATGGGATGGAAAGATCCAAAGTGGATCACTCAGTGCCCCAAATACATCATACCCAGATCCAGGCAGTCTGTCATGAGGAGGCTATTCTAGTGTTGGGCACCATAATTAAATAGCGCTTTCAAGTCACCGCCCACCTTTCCTCCAAAGATTTATTTATTTATTAGAAGCTATTGTATGCCGTCCTATTATACAAGTTCTCAGTGAAGGGTCATGGAGACAAGCCTCTGAAAATGGGCATGGAGACATGCCTCATGATCTCCATGTGGAAGAAGTTGAAGGTAACTGACTCCCACTTTCTTTGTGTGTTGAAAGATTTGGAACAGCTACATGACTTGTACCTAAAAATGGATTGAGGTCAGTTGGTTAGGAGGGACATGGATGGAGGACTCTTTAGTGTTGGAATAAGGTACCCTCTACAACTTGCCTTAACGCATCAACTTGCACCACAAATGGTTGTCTTCAGTTAGACCTAACAAGATGAATGGACCAAAGTGAAAGTGGAAATAAAAGCATCCCTTAGTAGGTTGTACTGCAATACTCCAGAAAAAAATGAGCAATTTTCAGGAATTCAGTGATGGAAGAAATCACACAAGAAAAGTGGCAGACAAACTAGCAGTAAAAGTTGGCAATCCACCCTCCCACCCCCCACTTGCTTCCTTCTTTGCATATCCTGGTGCACAGTCCATTCATTGATGGCATTCACCATGCACAGCAGGCTGGGGGGACCACACAGGTTCTCCTTTGCATATGGCTTGGTCCTTTGCAACTGTTCAAGCAGTTTATCAATAACTGATTGGGTATACAGGTCTTAATCCTGATCTGATTATGTTCCCACTACTCTCTGCAAAGGTATGGTCTACTCTTGGTGAGGCCATGCTCATGGATAGGTTAGGAGGAGCAGGTCCAGTAAGCATTCCCAGGCTGCTTGAGAAGGCAACAGGCATGTGGAGTTATATACAAGATCATGACTCTAGAAAAGAAGTGTAGTAAGAGACAGATCTTTCAGTCCCCTGGAGGAGAACACAGGAAGCAGACCACAGCAAGTGCCTCACTTCCACTGGGCCCTTGAATAAATCCCAGGCTCCTCTCTCTTACTGTGGGTTGGAAAACCTTAAACGGGGAGTCCAGGGTCCTAACACTCCAAGCTTACCCATGATTTCTTCCTGTTGGCCTGACCTGTGTTATAGAACAGGCTCTGCAGAGCCTGAGATCCTTAGAAAAGAGGATACCAGCATCTCTGTGGAATCTGACTCTGGGTCCTTGGGATTGGGCAGGTGTCTCCTGGTTGTTGGTCTTCAGCTCAGTGTCAAGGTCCAGGTCTAGTACTTGTCTTTGCCAGTGGATCACTCAACTGGCCCTTTGCTCTTTGTATGTCCATATCCAGGTCATTGCTTGCAGTCAAATCAAGTATAACACTGCACCTTTTTACCACCAGAAAGGAAACAGGTGTTCCAACTGGAGGAATACACAATCAGATTAAACATTCATTCCTGTGTTATGGAAAGTATTCCTATACAATGTTGTTTTTGAGGGCAGAAAGTGAGTAGATGCATTCAAAGAGGTTGTCTGCTCTGGGGTAGAACCAGAAAGTCAGTGTGAGGGTAATTCTTTGGTTCCTTTTTCCTCACACATCTTCAATTTTTTACATTTTTCAGCTAATGCTGTACTGTGAGTTGGTTCTTGGGGGCTGCATTCACAGCAGGCTTGAGCATATATGTTAATCCCCAAATACATTCGTCTAGATGTTTGTTTCCATCATGGCAATTGATGATCCGGGCTGCCAAGGCAAGAGTTTCAGAAGATGGGCAGCTAAAAGCCTTAAAACCTCTTTTCTGATTGCAGCACAAGCAGAGTCTGCACATTCAATGGGTGGCATTTCTCTGCCTCTGTGTTTACTTGAATCTTGCCTTACTGGGCGATAATGGTAACATTCGAGGGGTTGGGCGAGTTCTGCAAATTTTTAGGTGCAGTAGCATTCTTGCCTTTAAGTAGGAGGTGGCTAAGGATTTGTTTCTTTCACACCTCCCCCCAGAATATTCTTGCTTGGCTTAGCCACTCTTTGTAGCCCATGTACATTCCTGGAGATTGACTGTTCCAGGAAATAATGCTGTGCCGTGAGGGTGTGTCATTCCCAGAGGAATTTGATGAGGAATGGGGAGATGGCTTCGGCATTGAGGCTGCCATTATTTTGTCAAATGAATATGGGTGAAGATGTAAGCTCAGCACTAGTGACAATATGAAACATACGCCTTTGACAAAGCAAGCATAGTAGCAATGCAGGCTGAATGCAGCTGGACCTCCACATAGCCATGCAGATCCAGAGATGGTTCCCATGCCATTACCCATTTGCCTGGGACACACCTCTGGGGTGCGCATGTTCATCCATTCTGCAGGTTGGTTGGATACCCTCATTCATTCCTGAAGGCCACTAATTGTGCTCCACACTTGTGGCAATGAATACAGGCGGGTCCTGGGTCCATGGATTTGGGCACACATGAGAGACAGAGAGAGGACTAAAGGTAGAGCATCCGCCTGCAACATGAACTATACTTTGGAACTGCAACATGCTTTTAATCCATATGTCTTTCTATTGTCCATCTTCTTGTGCCTGTACTGGCACTTTCAGGCTCTCACTACCCTACTATGGGGATAGTCAACTGGAAGCCCAGTTGCCTCCCCCTCTTATCATTTGTCTAAGTCACTTTCTTCAGAGCCAAGACACACATGACTCCAGTCCTCCGTCAGCTTCACTGGCTTCCCATTGAAGTCCAGGCCCAATTCAAGGTGTTGGTTATGACCTATAATGCCCTTAACGGCTTGGGTCCTGGTTACCTGAAGGAGCGCTTATGTCCATATATGCCCGCCCACCCCTTGAGATCTGCGGGAGAGGCCCTTCTCTGGGAACCCTCCATGAAGGAAATTAGGAGGGTAAGTACTTGGAGGAGGGCTTTCTCTGCAGTGGTGCCCAATCTATGGAATGCGCTCCCCAGAGAGGTCCGCCTGGCGCCATCGTTCTTTGTTTTTCGGCGCCAGGCAAAGACCTTTTTATTCAAATGCTATTTTAATTGTTAATATTTATTTATTTATTTTATTATTTGGCCAGGGCGACTTAAATTTTACTGTTATACTGTTAAATTATATTGTTTTATATTATGTTATTTATTTATGATTGTGAGCTGCCCCGAGGCTTCGGCGAATGGGGCGGCATAGAAGTCCTCTAAATGAATGAATGAATGAATGACCTTTAATCTTTTGGCCAATTTTGACAGGACATGCTGATCTGTCCCTTCCCTTTCTGTGAATGAAAAGCAGCCCTGGGAAACTGAGAATTTTGTAAAAGGAGCAAGAGGGTGCTAAATCCTTTCCCTCCCTCAAGCTAAGCCCCCCCCCCCCCACACACACATATCCTGGGCAGTGGCTTATAAACCACCCTTACTAGCCTTGGCTTATGGTGGGGTTTAGCATAATACCTGAACCCAGAAAAGTGTTCTTGCTCTGGCTAAAGAGCTCCAGCTGATGACAGCCCAAGTGGCACTTTGCACAGTCATTCTAGGTTCCACCCCCACACTCCTGCCAAAGCTGGGAGTGGGGCAGTATTGCTTGAAAGCAGTCCTTCTTTCCCCTCAGCTTTGGCAGGTGCACGGGGAAAAGTGCTCTTCCACCCACAAAGAAAGCGGGAGAAGCCTCAATAAAGTGTCAACTTAAATGCCACATGTAGAGAATTCCTTTGTGTGTGTTGGAGGGGAGGGAATATTAGTTTTTCATCACCAGTAGGTCTTCTGTGAGGCTGGCATTTTGTTGTTCTATGTCAGAAGAAATGTCATATAGTATATGATGCTTCTTGGCCAAGCAACTTTTCATGTGGCCCAACTAGTTTGCCTACTGGGAGAACAGGGTATTGTGACTGGCCATGCCCACTGTTGCAGCCATTTTACTCATGAATAAGCCCCTCCCCAGGGTAGCCATTCTGTGAGAGTTTCATAAAACTCTCAGAATGTGTGTGTGTGTATCTGCCAGTCGAACAAGAGTTTGAGGTCCCTGATTAATTGCAAGTCCTCCAAAGAAGTTTATATTATGGGGTAGCATAGAGATATAAAATGGTTAAGGATAAGAATATGGATATAACAAATATCTTTCAGATGCAGTTACTCTTTCAATGGGTGTGCAAAGCAGATGGGAAAATGAGAGCCATTAGCTCTCATAAGGGGAGAGTTCTGCCTAATTCTAGGAACTAGGAAAGATGGCATTAAAGAGTGCTTTATCTGTGCCCAGTTTGCATGAAAATGAGACCGTGAGCAAAGCCAGCATTGAGGGCCTTTAAACCCTTAGTCAGTTTCTTACCAATCAATTGCTGATTGAGCTCTGCTTACTAGAGCTATTCCACTTACCGGATGTTTTCGTTGGGTGCTTTCCCATGTTTCTTGATGGCAGAGCACTCATTCTTATGGTTCAGCCAGGCATCCTTCTGGCAGGTGCGATCACAGTAATGGGCAAACTTGCACTGGCCACAGCGATGGAGCTTTGCATGCCGCTTAAAGCAAGTGTGGCAGACCAGGTGAGTGAGACTGAAGAAAGGAAAACAGCATCATGAGTAGCCACCGAGGAAATGCTTGTGAACTTTTAAGTGGCAAGGTGCTGCAGCAGCAGCCTTAGCAACTGACCAGTTACCCATCCCGTAAAGGACAGAAGGAATGCTTGTTTTAGACAGGCTCTGCCCCGGCATTTTAGAGCCAAGGACAGAAAATCCCTGGGTCAACTCCAGCTCCACTAATTAACACGAAGGACAGCAATGTTCTGGCCAGCTCTGGTAGAGAAATATTACTCAAGATACAGTCACAGCACTCCATGTGTTATGCATCCAGCAATGGGAACCTGCATGCCACCCTCCCAATATTGTACCCATGTATTTGCAGGCAATTACGTTCACCCTGTTTCTATGTGTCTATGATAATTTCAGAGGGCTATACATAAAATGACAAAAATATAATGAAAACTACCAATTTATCACAGCTAGAATGATCTAAACAATCTAAAATCATCACACAATAAAATCAAAGGCATAAATCTGGGAAAACAGGGGGGAAAACCCTAATTTGAATTTTAAAATGTAATATCATGCAAATTGGTTTTAGAATGTCTGCACCAATATAGAGGTTTTAACTTGGTGACAAAAAGAAAATAGCAGTGGTGCCAGACAAACCTCTCTTAGGAAGGCATTCCAAAGTCAGGGCAGCACCAAAAAGAGGGCTCTTTCTTTTGTGGATGATAAATCTACTTCTCTTACCAAAGAAGTACAGAGAGAGGCCTACTTTAATGATTTTAATACACAAGTGGGCAAAGTTTGCCATAGAACTTAAATCTGCATGGATGCTTAGTGTAGGATCTCTATGAAACTGTGTACTATAAGGCCTTCAGAGCCACAGAGGACATCCTCCGAGGAATGGCCAGAGCATTGCATTCAACAAGAAAAGAGTAATATAATGGAGAGCATGGCATCTTCACCTGAAAATAGATTTTTCCCCTTTTCTGTATCACTGAATCTGTAGACTGTTGTTGCAGAGCATTTTGATTATAATTCGTGGAACTACAAGGATTCAATAGGATTGTAATGGGGCTAGCTTTGACTTATAGTTACCAAATGCCCACACTTAGGCTAAACTGTCACTGCATCGAACTGGCAGTACTAGCAGCTGGAGAGATATATGAATGGGGGTGGTGGGGACGGGGGTGCGGGGGAGTCCTTCCTTCCATGTCTCAGAGCTCTGGAACAGAACAAGAGTTAATGTTGTACAATGTCTTAATCACTGCAGCAAGGGTAGTGAAAGTGGTTCATCTGGCTATTACATCTTTATATTATGTTTTATTAGGGGAAACTCCCAGAGAGCTTTGGCTATTGCATGATATAGAAGCATAAGGGTTTTCAATTTTTACCTATAAACTTGTATATGAGTTACCTTTTGGCCCCAAAAGTAATGAACTGCACTTTTAGGACTTTAAACAGCTTATCCTTTGATGTAAGCATAACACTATTTTAAAGAGTTTGTTGGAATACTTTAGTCATCTCTCAGGCAATGAGTTAACTCTTTGCATAAGAACCAGCTGTCTCCATAAATTTCATTTTAAATATAGGAGATATTTAGTCAAAGGTGAAACAACAGCTGCAAAACAGCCTCTGCTTTCCTTTTGGATTCTTTTCTAGTTTATGGTTTAATAGTAGTAGTAGAAGACTTGAAGTGACTTACTATAGATCAAAGCATGCAACATTTTCAACAACTACAACAGCTTACCATTAAAATACAACTTTCACAATTGTGCCAAAAACAACTAAAATGTCAGAGACAACCATAAAGAATGTAAGTGATGTGCATTATAGTTCATGAAATCCTTTCAAATTTCATCAACTGAGATGTATTCTTGGGTTATGACAGTAGAAAACATATCAGACAAAATAATAGCTGTGTCAGTGATGAAACCTTGATTGAATATTGCTGGTCTGCAAATCTATGGAATGCGCTCCTCAGAGAGGTCCGGCTGGCGCCGTCGTTATTTGTTTTTCGGCGCCAGGCGAAGACCTTTTTATTCAAACATTATTTTAATTGTTAATATTATTTATTTATTTTATTATTTGGCCAGGGTGACTTAATTTATATTGTTTGATAGGATTCTATTTATTTATGGTTGTGAGCCGCCCCGAGGCTTCGGCGAATGGGGCGGTATAGAAGTTCCCCTAATAAATAAATAAATAAATAAATAACTGAGAAGCCTAAACAGGCCCAGGGCCAGACATAATTTGGGCCTCAGACAAGAGAGCTTTTAGGGATGAAAGCTGAAATGCTTGGAAACTGAAAAGAACAAAGCTCTGTGAGTCAGTTAATACTAACTGTGGATATAGCGATAAAATTCTGGATTGCTTTGAGGATATTTAGTTTCAAGATACACATCTTTTGCCCTTCAGCATTTGAAGGGAAAATGAACATCCTCCCCCCACACACACACTGCCAAAAGCCATAGGAGACCTCTTGCTTCCTACCTCTATTTGCCATATTTGACTGTTAGACCAAATTCACCAAACTAGTGAATTTTAAGGAACCAATCCTTCAGTCTTCCTCACAGAGCCAATACTTCCAGCTTTCCTTCCACTGTGGCCCCTGCTGCTAGGCACTTCTGCTTTTAAATCACCTTCTAACCTACACCATTTGCTTATGGTGAAGGAGCTGAAAAGCTCATTTTGTGATGATTCTCTAGACCACATGCACAGGCTCTTCAATAGCATGCTTCAAACCCTTTTCGAGTCTCATCTTCATATCCTACTGAAATATTTAAATGCCTGATAATTATCTTCATCAGCAGTCCTTAGTCCTGAAGCCATTTAGAATATGCACCTTTCCATCCTTTATAGGACTCAAACATTTGCCCTTAAAAAGTTTCTGTAGAATAGCTCTAGCAATTACATCTCTAGCATGTTCAAAGAATGGGAGCATAGGAGGAAAAGAATCGGTTAAAGGCTGTAAGAAAAAAAATGTTCTATTAAGGGCCACAAGAAAAGGTGGATTAAATAAACATTTCTTGTTTACTGTCTTGCTTATTTATTTATTAAATTTACATTCCACCTTTTTTTCCTCCAAGGAACCCAAGGCAGTTTATACAAGTCTCCTCTTCATTTTATCCTCACAAGAACCCAACATGATGTGTTAGGCTGAGAGTCAGTGACTGGTCCAAAATGGCTGAGCAGGGACTAGAATCCCAGTCCCATCCAAGACTCGAGCCACTTCACCCCACTGATTCTGCAGCATATGCAATCTAGCACATCTATCTCCACCCCTCCCTCCCGGCAGTTTGATAATGCAAGCAGGGTTTGCAAGCCGTAAAGTCTTGGGCGAGATGCGTAGATTTATAGTGGGAGTGATCAGATTGCTCTGAAGCAGCAGCACAAAGCAGATCAGTGGCAACCTTGTGGGATAAACCAGGCAGGCAGCAGAGCAGGGCATCTGTCAGAAGGCCCTGACTGGTTTCTATCAGCTGTCAAGTCAGTGGGGTGAAAAGGTGCTGCCCAGTTTGGTTGCCTTATATGGCAACAAGGAGACAGAAGCCTACTTAAAAACAACTGCAACTCAGACAATGCTTATGCCAGAAGGAAAAGGCCTTCTGGAGGAGGCTGGGGAGAGCAAAGACAGCACATAAGAATGCATATCTTCTGGAAACCTGAAGATGAAACCCACTGTGATTCAGTTTGCCCTTCTTCAAGTCTCTGGCTGTAGCACCTTCCCAGGAAGGGGGAAAAAAAAAAAAAACAGACTGCATAAATCCATCCTTCTCGCCAGTGCTCAAGCAGTGAACTATGTTTAATAATACGTTTCTCTTCTTGCCATTTACCAACTATGCAGTTCCAGCATAACTCAAGAGACGCAGTTTATTTATTTATTTATTAAAACATTTCTATGCCGCCCCTTGCCAAGGCCTCGGGGCGGCTTACAACATCGAGTTCTTCTGCCCAGAGTACCTGCAGCTGCAGCAGCCTTTTCAGGCCCTGGAACAACCTTCCTTTTATAGCACAAAATACAGCCCAGAACCCTCAGCACAAATCTTTCTTCCTCCACTGCAAGCACCCATTTTTCTAACTTTTACATAACTAAACCACAGCCAAATGGTAGTGATGAAGCTGCAACCTGCCAATAAAACAAATGAAACTGTCTTCCACAGAGTCAGGCCATTGGCCCCGTCTAGCTTATTACTGCTTTTGCTGAATAATGAAGCAGCTATAGTTAATCAGCAAAAGAAACTTTCGATCAACTTTAAAGGTATCCCTGATTAATATGGTAGTAGGTTTGGGAAGGGATATCTATTTTAATACAGCTGCATATAAAAACTGCTGATGGCAAGCGACTTTTAAAAAGATGCTGGAAGGACCTGCTCTACTTTCCTGCAGGGCAGGGCAGCCAACAAGGCCATTGCTTGCCACCATGGGCCCTCGGTCTCCGCCGCTTTTCCTTCCTCTCCTCTTCAGTACGGATTGTAGCATGGAAGGACAGGTCCTTCTGTGCACAGGGACTTGGCTATCAGATTTAAACTTCCGGTCTCTATTTAGAAATGACATTAGAAATAAGGGATGAGGGAGAATTCAGGTAGGTAACTTTGGTAAGAAATAAAATAGTTGATGTCCTAAAATAGCTAGCACTTAGTTCATCTAACTTCTTTCAAGGCCTAAAGGTCATGAAGGATACTCTGCGATAATCTATGACCTGTATATTCACTGTGCAAATGTACATATTTTCTCTAAGGAGACTCAGAGGGAGAAGGATTCTTCAATCAGATGCTAGATAAGATTTTTTTGCATACTTGGTGCCTGGCAATCCAGCATCCAGAGAGATGGCCCACTAGCTCTTATATAGAAGGAGAAATAAAAGTATGACATGTGAGAAATTTTCTGTATTGGCTTGGAGACAGAAACCATTGCGGTAACTTTAACTTGTGGATGCTGAAAGCTGTGACATAGCAGTTATTCTAAATGGCAACAACATTATAGTGCTAGGTACACTGGATTCTTAAGTGAACAAGCTTTTTAAAC